AAATTGAAAAATGCAAAAAAGATGTGAATAAAATCAACGGACCAGACATACAATATCGAAGATTGACAAAACACTTTTCACTTGACTCTGAAGATGACTTCCGCTCAGGTTGTCGAAACGTCAGTCACCAACAAGGCTTCTTTTCAGAACTACCCTCATCCGGACGATTACACTATACGAACTACTGATACTCCTGGGTTCAAAACATTCACCAAAATCAATAAAAGACGAAATCACTGTCAATTTTGGGACTCATTTTCGGTGACTCTTCCCTAAAGTTCAAGTGCAGAGGCTTCCTTTTCCAGTTTTGTCTGAGAGCAGATTTAAATTGTGAATAATACATAAGCTTTAGAAAGCAACTTAACCATTTCATTACATTCTACTATCACGCATGGAAATCGAAAGCGAATCATCTAATTGTTATAGTCAGTAAATCTAAATCCCCTTCAAAGTGCCTGCCATTTTGTCAACAAGCGCACACTGCTAGGCTACTCACTATCACTATATATTGAGTAGCGCAGCCAATAAGAGAACGGCAATCGTGATAGAATGCTAGAACCGCTGGTCAAAAGGAACGCGGGCTGTGGATAAGTGATTGACCTAAGAAGGAAAGGCATATTCATCGCATGCGCACTAGCGACTGTTTGAAACTTTTCTTAAATCCTTACGAACTTCAATTTTGTATTTTCTTTCCCAGAATACTATCGCTCGGTAGCAAACAACTACCAATACCTCTACAAAGAAATCTTTGAAGGAATTCTTCCCAGCCTGACGAAATCCTTGGACTTGAAGCCGCACCACATTGTTGCAGACAGTGGTAGTAGAAACGGCTTTATTGCCGAGAATATCTTTTAATCGTTCACGCTAAAAAACCCTGTTTGGCGCGTGGATCCCAGCGCAGAAATGCAAGAGGTAGCGCGCAAAAGGGAAGGAACTTTCCCCGTTCAAAAAACGGCGGAAGAATTTTTTCCTGATTCAAAAATCAGCCAGTGTTTTGATACGATTCTAGCAGTATTCAGTACTCATCACTTTGTCAGTCCCAATGCTAACTAGGTGCATTTACATGATAAAAGCAGAGAGGTCTGTATCAAAGCAAGGTCACCTCCAGCCTCGCTGCCATTCAAAGGCCAGGTTACCGAGCAGGCAACTGTAAAATGGTCTATTCACCTTCCCCATTGAAGGTCTGAATTTGCCCCTGATTTCACGCTTTATGAAGAATGAAGAAAGGCAGATTTTTTGGTGCTGCTGTCTGTGACGTTTTGAAAGATCCAGCTCTCCCCAAAATAAACAGTTTAAAAGGGCTACGTTTTGTATACTTCTTGAGGATTTTGTTCCTTGGTGTATTCGGATTCTAAGTCAGCTCGTTGGGTAACACTAGAAATGAGAGGCCTTCCAACGGTAGGAAGTGTTGCGAGACGACGAGCCAACGAGCCGTCATTTTGAAAACCGTCCAGGAGAAGAACCTGGGGACGAGGTTGTAAAGTAAATGAAGCAGCGGGGCCTAGCTCTGTTACCATAGCAACAACTCACACGAACTCTAACAGAAAGTTACAGGTAGGTAGACAAAAGACGCTAGAGTAAATGTCTTTGTTTGTATTTCATGATGCGACATATCTTTGGAGTGACACGAATTTTAAGATGCAGTAATTTGTTTTAAATTTTGTCTCTGAAATTTGGAAATTTATATGCTAGCCACATTTATAATTGAAATTTTCAAGGAGCAGGAACTGAAAAGAATAAATAATATCTAATTTATGCAATATGCATAATAAATCCTCTCATTGTGTGATGTGTAGAGCGAAGAATAGTTTTGGAAATATCACAAATCCTTTGCTTTTCCCATCAGTCAAGGTACTTACAAATAAGAAATACGCGACAAAGCGAGGAAATATTGTAACAAGAGGCCTTTTTCCCTTTTCGTCATTCTTTGTTCGTCGCAGAATCTGACAGCTTGGTTCAGAATCAGCTTAGCCTGCGGTTCACAGCACAGCTGTTGCCTGGCAAAATGATGACGTAGGCGCGTGGCACCGAGCTGACGACGGAGTGCTCGTCAGTTATCGCGCTATGTTTTGATTGGAAGACGAGAAACGGAAGCTCTTCGGTATTTCANATCCGACGAAGGCAAGCTCGACTTTTCCCGACGTCGAATTGGGTTATGTCATGTCATCGCTCCACTTGATAACGCTGAAGAAAACTTGCCCGGAATGAAGACTCTTTACTGAGAATTATAAATGAAGGTGTTCTTTGTTTTACTACCAACCTGTATGTGAAGAAAAAACAAATCAGTGCCGTTCGGTTTGAACAACACCATATAACATACCGTAAATTCCGGTTATTAGCTCCCCCCCGGTTTATAAGCCCCCCCGGTATATGCCCATCTATATGTAAACAAAAAAATAAGGCTATTTCTGATGTAAGTCCTTCTTAACTTTGTGTACTTCGCCGGCCGGTATTTGCAATTATGAGGACGCGTCATTCAACGATCTCTGCGCTTTGCGTACTTTTTTTCGTAGTGGACTACTTCTGGAGGTACATGTTTTTCACTTCTTAGAAACGTCAAGTCGGAAAGTTGTTTAGCATTGGCGCATTTCTGCAGTTTTCGTTCCTCCTCCAAGGGAAACTGAAGCATAATAAGAAAAGCATCATCTGTTCCGGTTGGTTTGTTGATTTTGGAATAAACTCCTGGCATTTTTGAACAATCAACAGGTCAACTAATTAGCATACAATAACGTCACGATAACGCTACGATAACGTCACTATAACGTCATGATAACGATGATGTCGATGACGATAACGACGATAACATAACGACAAGGTCACGATAACATCGCGATAACGCCACGACAACAAACGTCGATAACGATAACGGCGATAACATAGCAATAACGTCACGATAACGTTGATAATAAAGCAAGACTGAACATGTCTGCTGACTAATGTTGCCAGCATGATCAGAACCTTGTTTAACTCTTACCTAGAGTCTGAAAGAAAAACACAACTTTTCTCCCGTGGAGTCCTCAAAATAAACCTAAAAGATATAACGAGAGAAATAAAAGACATTAGAGCTAAATAACCATAACTAATAGGATAATGTGCTCGCAAGATAGCCTGCGTAGTGAGCGTAAAACAGGGGACGGGGGAGGGGTAGCGTAGATGGAAGAAGGAGGGGTAGGGTGGGGGAGTTCCTCCCCTTTTTCCTCGCATTTTTTCCCTCCCTACCTGGTCCCTACTTCGGCTGCAATGCAGCCTACTTGCAAGGGTACAGTGTGTTTCCAAGGTGGATAGTTGGGCACCAGGGAGAGGACACCAAGGAGAGGGCACTAGGCAATCACACAACGCAGACTAACTAGTGTGTGGTCCAGCTTCAAACGCCATAGACAGTTGTGAAAGAGGAGGAAAGAATTATGATCCGAGAAGAACGAGGACAGATAAAAGCAATTTTCAAAGGTACACTACGTATATACGTAA